CCCCACCTTTCCCTTTTAAAGAATTGGCAAATCCATTGCATCCTCAGAAGCAGTAATTAAATGGATTGGTGTTTCTGTATCTTGGTGGGCACAGCCAAACGCTGTCTCCAAGGCCTCTGCTACCGCTAACGGATCCCACAGCTTCAGGCTACACTCAATCAATATCTGGCTCGTTCCATGAAGTTACGTTAGAAATTTCTTTTCCTTTTAATCAGACTTTATCCAACTTCCATTGAGATATGCCAAACTCTTCACAGGCACCTCAACTGCTAGGCTGGACTAGAAAATCCAGAAGAGAAAGCATTTGTGGGAAACTCTAAGCATTTTTACAGCAAGAAAAAAGACACAAGGAAAGAGTCACTGGTGACTTCAGATATGCCTGTGTGGCAAAGGGCAAGTTAATTCTTCTCAGCTCAGTTGCCCAATCTGTAAAATGGGTACAGCTGTGATTTCCTTCACGGGGTATTCTGTTATTATTATATTATAAGTAATTTGTTATTATTATATTATTCAAACAGCTTGCCTCCTGGGCCAAATAGTAGCTTGTCAGGGGCTGATTTTATGCAGGCTGCAGATCAAAAACTGGAGAATACTTGTGTGCTGTGGCTAGAATTCTGACCATCATGTGAATAATTACTGGGGAGCGGGGGTTAAAGCCACATACAGAGGACAAGTTTTAAACTATGTGTAAATTATTTTGTCCTAATGAATTCAGGACAGCACACATAACTTCTTGGCCCAAATATATGTGTGTGTGTGTGTGTGTGTGTTAATTCTCCTGACATCACCTTGTGATGTATGCTAGGTAGTTAGGAGTTCCTAGACTGAGATAATCCAAGGGCTTCATGCTTCAACATCAATTTGAAGCTTAGCATCTATTCATTGTCTTCACACCCCACATTATAATAGGCTGGATAAGGCCTAAATACTCTAAACTAGCACCAGATCCATCTGATCTTGGAAGCTAAGCAGAGTCAGCCTTGGTTAGTGCTTGGATGGGAGACCACCAACCAATACCAGGTGCTGCAGGGCTATATTTCAGAGGAAAGAACTGGCAAAACCACCTCTGAGTATTCCTTGCCTGTGAAACCCGATGAAACTCACAGGCTTCCCATAAGTTATCAGGCGACTTGAAGGTACAAACACAGACATCACTAGTATTAAAGAGCCAATTTGCTGTAGTGGTTTGATCACTAGACTACAACTCTGGAGATCAGGTTCAAATCCTTGCTCAGTCATGGCAACATGCTGAATGACCCTGGACAAGTCACATCCTCAGAGGGGGGAAAGGCAAACCTCCTGTGAACAAATCTTGCCAGGAAAGCCCATAAGATCACCATAAGTCTTAAACTACTTGAAGGCACACAACAACAACAACAACAAACAAACAAACAAACAACGGTGTTTAGTTTCTTTTTAAAATTGCAAGATATACCATGCAGAACCAATAACCATGACATTTGCAGTTTGTTGTTGTTGTATGCCTTCAAGTCGTTTCCAAATTAGGACATTATCACACGTGGGCCAGTTTCGTTGTTAAAGAGATAATAAAGTGGAAATGAAGCATCCCGAAAAGAAAGCGAAAAAAGAGCTTAATTGTGCAAAAGCTTTTCACACGTAATTACAGTAATAATGGAATTAAGTTAAAGCGAAAAAAATACGTTTTTAACTTTCATACACAAGTGAAAAGAACCCATACATGTACTGGAAATGGGTGTGTTTCGTGACCAGACTCCTCCATTTCCAGGGCAGGTCCTGCATTTCCCAGGAGGAAATGTCAGACTGTCCTACATTTGAGGTCATGTTCTCCTGCACAGGGCTAACCCCCTTCTGTTGGAGTTAGGACCTCTCAAGAGAGCAGAGGAGG